AAACCACCCCAACAAGAAAGAGAATTGTATAAGTTTATATTGTCTATGTTGTGATGCACTTCACAAACAAGGTAATATGAATTTGATTCTCGCATTACCATTTTTTGTTGATGAAGGCAGAAAGTTTTTAGGTTTTTATAATTCTGAATGATATCTACAATTTAAAATTCATAAATTTTAAATTTGGATTCAAATTCAAATTCTGGCAATGAAGGGAATGCTTGAATTTATCAAGAAAAAGCTAGACGAAATGAATGGAGAGATGCGGGATCCCATGGTCATCCTTGCTTCATGTAGTTTTGTGAGGGATCTTACTGAGTTTCAACATTGATTCGTGCATAACTTACGTGGATAACAAAAATGGCAATCAAACAGTGTAGTGTAATGTCAAATTTTACGCAAGTATAAAAAGAGTGTTTCGTTAAAACGGCCCGAAGATGTTCTTAATACGGTATGATATTATTCGTTTCGAGCCAAACGCGCATGATTTTTACCAAAATGTTGCACTCCATTAATAGATCCCTACGTCTTATATGTAGTCTCCTAATCTTTTTAGCTACCAATGTGCTTCACTGAGTACCACCCACATTGAGAAAGTATTTATGGCAACCGAAGCCTGCTACTATTTTCTTCTTGCCTGTGTATCATCACACTGTCATCGTTTTGCTCGTTGCATCAAACTTGAGCTCTAAAACCCATTGTTGGGCTAAAATAGCTTAAAGATATCTTAACACGGTATATGACAGAGTTTACTATTAGCTTCTTCTTGTATATGTATCATCACTCTATTATCGTCTTACTCGTTCCAATGGACCTCAGCTCTAATACCATTTTGGGCTAAAATGGCCAAAGATACTCTTAACACGGTATATGTCAGAGTATTTATGACAACCGAAGCCTGTTAGCTTCTTCTTGTCTGTGTGTCATCACTTTGTTATCGTCTTACTTGTTCCGTCGAATTTGGGCTGTATTACCCATTGCTGGGCTAACATGGCCCAAAGATACTCTTAACACGATATATGGTAGAGTATTTATGGCAATCGAAGCCTGTTACTGGCTTCTTCTTGTTTGGGTGTCATCACTTTGTCATCGTCTTACTCGTTCCATCGAACCTGAGCTCTAATACCTATTGTTGGGCTAAAATAGACTAAAGATACCCTTAAAACGGTATAATAATATCCGCATTGGGAAAAGTCCGTAAGATTTTTTCCAAAACATCATACTCCATTAAGAGATCTCTACACCTTATATGTAATTTCATAATCTTTTCAGCTATCAATGCGAGATTTTGTTCGTCGACCAAACAATCTCCCTCTAGAGCTGCCTATGTGAGATTTTGTTGGCAGATCCTACAAAAACTAATCAAACACTGCATTGCTAAAATGTAATGGAAGTACCTTATGCATGCTTTTCTTTTAGTTGATAAAAAAAATATAGAAAGAAAGACCACTAAAAGATTCTTTCCTAAAAAGAGAAACTACTATTCTATTTGCAGCGGGTCAAAACCATGATTTCCTCATATGGCCCAGAATTATTTCTACTTTGACGCCAACGATCCATTAAGTATTGTAGCCCATTAGATAAAGCAACTAGGGTCTACATATCGTAGTAAAATAGTACGATGTGTGCGGTGTGAGTAATTGGAAAAGAAAAATGGATTTTTACCTTCCTATACACTATTTGAAATCTTATTACTCTTTACTCAAGTTTTAATTTAATTACATAGGCATATACAATTTACCAATTATATACATTTTAGGAATTAAATGAGTATCCATTTATATTAGGAATTGAATAAAGAATCAATTATTTCCCATCCTTATTCTCTCTCTCTCTCTCTCTCTCTCTCTCTCTCCTACGCTCTCTCTCTACATCTCCATCTATCTTTCAATCCTCCATTCCAGTAATGTAGAGCAAAGGAAAAGAGAGCAGCAATTCCACGCTTATTATTGAAATTCCAGTAATGTAGAGCTGAAGGTGTTGCACTATTGGTGTTCAAATTCTAGTAATGTTGCACAATTGGTGTTCAAATTGAAATTGTCAATCAATAAATTTTGAAGGTGTTTGACTCTCCACCATTGACATCTATTAAAAAACTTTGAATTCAAATTTGGGTTTTTAAAAACCATTATTTATTTGTATCGGGTATTATTGCAAACAATTGAGAATATTGTTTGGAGTTTATATCTCAATTTTGAGGGTGTTTGGTGAAGATTAGACTTGATTTTGGCTGAATTTCAGATTGAAACTCGAAGAAGAAGAAGAAGAAGAACACATGACATACAATATACTTACGAAATTATAGTAAAGTTGTAGTATAATTGTATATAAATTGTATTCTGTTGTAGTTATATATATATTTTTATTTGAATGTTGTATGAAAGTTAAAAAATAATTGTATAATGTATGAATCATTGTATAAAATTTGTATTCAAGTTATCAATATTATCTTTTTACATAATGTTATTGATATGTATCAAAATTGTATTAAAAGAGTAAGTTTTGATTGGAATTTCAGAGAGGAAGAAGCACACACCATAGACAAAATATATACAAATCAGATACAAAATATATACAAAAGACATATTGTATAAAATTTGTATAAAAATTGTATTTAAGTTGTATGATATTGTAGTTATATTTAACTGGGTAGAAATAATGTATGAAAGTTGTAGATAAATTGTAAATAAGTGGTATAATATATAATTAGTTGTATGAAATTTATTTTTACTATGTATAAATCAGATACAAAATATACAAAAGACATATTGTATAAAAATTGTATTTAAGGTTTATGATATTGTAGTTGTATTTAACTATGTAGAAATAATGTATGAAAGTTGTAGATAAATTATAAATAAGTTGTATAATATATAATTAGTTGTATGAAATTTATTTTTACTATGTATGTTGTTGTAGATATTCAAATTTGCATTAAATTTGTACGAAATTTATTTTTAATTTGTATGCCGATGTACCATACATTGTTCTTTTTCTCGATTGATTTATTAAGGAAAGAAAAGTAGAGAATGATGAAAAGAAATATGCATTTTAACATGTTAATCAAAGTTTATTTAATCAAATATTTTGGACCTATTAATCCAAGTGAAGCCATTACCTTCCTTTTTATAAATCAGTAATACCCTTAATAGCCAATACACAATAGTTCATATATTTTCAACTTCAGAACAGCAATATAAATAATAAAATAGCTGACCTTGTAATCAGTATCCCTAATTTGTTCTTCTATCAACTATTAATCAAATCAGACCCAGCTCAACTGCAAATTAGTTTTGTTCGACTACAACAATCCTCTTATTCATCCCACATTATTCAGGTTACTTAGCATATAGTATTCAGAGGATTCATATTAAATTCTATTATTTCAATAACGGTGGTGCTGGTGCCAAATTGAGTACACCTTGACTAATTTCCCTAATAACTGCTACTTACAGCTAGTACAAATACTGAGCAACTCCGTTACCAACTCTAAGACCTGTGGGAAGAAATTACCTAATGATTTTTTTAAAGTGGAGATATATACAAAGAGACTATATAGAAAATTTGAAATTCTTAAACATATGAATTTTTAACAGCTTTTAGCGAATAAACAATTTGCTCAATCCTAAAGAGCTATGATCACATAAAGCATAGAATTATCTTTCCAGTAATGTAGAGCAAAGAAAAAGAGAGCATCAATTCCACGCTTATTGAAATTCCAAAAGATGAAGCTACGTGGCGGCGACGGCACCGAAACAGAAGATGATAACCATGGAGTATTTATATTGGTATTGATAATGGTGGTTGAGGAGACAAAAAGACCAACATGCGTTAGCCGATGAATATTCTAGAGAAAAGAGGAGAAAGAGGAGAGCAAAAAGGAAAAAGGGTGTAACTAAATCCCTTGATTGAAGGCACTAATAATGGATTGAGAGGCTTTTAAGGTAGAATATATATATATATATATATA